TCATTTAAAGAAATCAAAGCCAAAACAATAAAACACTCACAATCCACGGCATCTCAGCGCAAACCTGAGTTTGAAAATGGTTGTTCTTCCGCGACGGAAATCGTTCCAGTAAATGTTGCATAAACTGCTGTAAATATGCCCAGTGAGAATGTGACCGTCATCCAGAAGCGAGCGTCAAGATCTGGAAGAGGCCTTTGGGGCTGTGAGAGCATAGCCTTGTCTTTAATAGTTATTTGGTTTTCCTCGATGAAAGAATGCAAAGTTCACAAGAGACACGAGAGCTGCAGGAAGAGCAGGAACGAGGCTCCACTGCTGGCTAAGAAGCTGCACATGTGAGCCAGAGTGTGTTTCATATCTCCTCACTAACAAGCACATCATTGTCAAAAGTGCACAATGGTGTCAAGTCGTCCGGGATGATCTCCCCCCCCCCCCTTCAACGAGTGCCGGGATTACTGTAAGCTGATTTTCCATAATTTACTCCCACCAAGTGGAAAAGCACTATCCGGATTCCCCTTTTAACTCCCTCTCCTTATCTTGTTCCACTCTCGTCGCTGTTGTCCCAAGAACAAGTATGAGTTCCGTCTGCGAGCCTCGCGCTGCCAACGGGTTCCTTCTCAAGCGGTTTGCGTCGTGGCTTGAATCCGCTGTGATAGAATGCAGTTTGCTGTCACTTTTTGGGCTCTTTGGAGCTTTTACACACTCTACCTGCACGGCATTAGTGGCATTTTTTACTGAATCCAGACCCATCACACTCATGTTGCTAATGAGACAGATGACACCACGTTTTTTGGGGGGAGGGTGGGAGGGGGACTATAATGGAGCGGCAGTTCACAAGCAATTTCCCGTAGGCTGTGTTGGAAAGGTGCAGGCCTCCCTGCGAATGCTGAGCCGTGCAGCTCTTACAAACACTTTGTGCCGAGGACAAATAACAGGGTGTCAGAAATGTAGAAAAAGTCACTTCCAGTTCCTCAACGGCTCCGTAGAGTCCACGTTACAGTCCAACGCGGGGGAGGTAAACCTGGACAGATGTGTCTGTTACTTCTGCCGTACGTTACGTCAATGCCGATTAGAAAAACGGCTAAACCAAATGTAGTGAACGTGGTTTACTTTGTGTTTTCACACGATTGCTCGCCCTTTAATCCCTCCTCATTACTTGGTCTTACGTTACGTTAAATCCTCAAATTCCAGCAGGAAGACAGACAAAGAACCTGGCGGGGAGACGGGCCTCCCGAAGCAAATGGTGGAGGTTGTCTCTCGGTGAAGTCTGCATCACCTTCTAGCATTTGTTATTGTTCCTTATTAGACTTTTGCCCACATTTTTCATCCCCCTTTGTTGATCAAGCCTGTTCTTACTGAACGATTTTAAGCCTCTGGTTGTTTTCCCAGATTGCACAGTTAAAAGTGCAGGTGAATCCATGTGCCGTTAAATCATGCAGGGATGAAAGATATTTTGTAATGAATTCATCAGAGTGTGAGTCCTTGGACAACATTTCCGGGCAAATTGGTCACCGCAAATTGGATGAAGCGGAGGTGAAATACACCAGTGCACCTTTTGTGTATTTTCTCATCCAGCAAGTCTCTACAATGTCCGGATCCCGTTTGGCTGCTCCTGCTGTGTCAGCTGTTCTCCACCTCCTCGCTTAATGCACGCATTAGTCTGATCTTAACCCACGGAAACATCTACGGTAGAATTGAATCAACCAATCAGCCAATTACCCCATCATGTCTTAGGAGGATGCAGTTGCTACAATCCTCACCGGCCGTGGAGTGATAAAGTGCGGAATAGGCAGTCATACAGTTGCAGAGGCAGCAGTTAACTGGGCATTAGATCAATCTCTGAATGATTGCTTGGTTTTGTGAAACAAAAGCATCCTGTTCCATTTCTAGCCCAGAAAGAGGAACTGGCTTTCAGCACATGCAGTGGCGGCTCTTTTTCTTATTTATTATTAATTCATTTAAATACCAACAGGAACTTCGGAGTTCGGAATAATTGCGACACCTGAATGGATTTCGGATGGGAAACGGGAATAATGGACCCCCTGCAGTTCGCCTGCAGAGCCAACAGGTCTGTAGGCGATGCTGTCAGCGTGGCCCTGCACTTCATCCTCCAGCATCTGGACTCCCCAGGAGTCTGCAAAATAGCAGGGGATCAGAATAAAATGTTAAGGCTAGCTCATCTTGTGTCCAACGGATTGTATTCAATTAGTCCGGTTTATTATTCCATTCATGATGTGTGAATAAAAAGATCAAATAGTTACAGCAAAAATGATCTTCCACGGTTAAAACTGCATTTAAAGTTTTTGTTTCCTGTTTTTAATCCGAACTTTTAGTCCCAAAGTGTCCCTGAGGGGAAATATCTGTCTGCTGAGCTGCTAAATGCTCCACTAACTTTGACCTGCTCGTTGCTTATTGTCTCAATCTACTGTTATGTGCTTTTAAGGGCTCGTCCCTCTGTTTAGCCTCAGCCAGCAGCAACGCTACGAGCGCAGTAGGAGCGCGCCGAAACGATCCATTCCACCAAAGTGGAGCAGCGGATCCGGGCCATTATGCCGTGAGTGCAAAGTCCAATTTTGTTGCTTTTATTGATAAAAAAACTTCACCAAATTACACAGTCGTATGAGTGTTGGACTTCAACTTCCACTGGACTGCCAGAAAGTTTGAAAAAGCAACCCGAGGACAGAGCAGACATCAATTAAAGTTGCAAACAGTGCAGCTTTGCTCCGATTAATTGCCAGTGAAAGTGTGTGAGCATGTAATTGGCATTTAACGCTATTGATGGCAGCATGTGTTGGTATTTAGCCGTCGGGGCCACCGAAGCAGTCAGAATCGGTCGGGGTGGTGACGAGCCGAACCCTGCAGGAGGCTCGGCGCGATTAGACCGGGTTCTCATCCCCCGTGCCGAGCCGGTGGAGGACGCCGAAGGTCACGCGTGACGTACCGCGCTGCACGGGCGTGGGTGCCGGCGTAAACGCACTCAAAGACGCCGGCGTGCCGCTCAGACCGTCGGGGGCTTCTTTCGCGATGTCGCCTGTGTGCCATTGGTTACGCTTGAAATATAATTGGTTTCGTGTAATGTTTCTCCAGCGTTTGCCAATTTTAAGCGCGGCTCTCGCTGCCCGTTTTTCAATCACAGGTTAAATTTAGGTGTCGTTTTGTTCAGTTTATGTGTTCAAAAAAATGAATAATGTATAAACATGATAATGTGGGCACCTATTAGTCCTCCACATGGATACTCCCAGAAGGATTAAGGGAAGGGAGGATGGGACTTCCCAGAATAACTTCTGAACTATTGTCTTTTTCCCCATTGGATAAAAATGCTGAATTCAGAATGAAAAAGTGTCTTTCTTTTTCTCTGTAAGTGGCGACGGCCTGAGAGCTGTGGAGGTTGAATGGCGGCCCTTTTTGGAGGAAATCAATACAGAGAATGTAAACTACCCATTTCTTCTCCATCAAGCCGCCACTCACGTTGGGTGCACGTTTAGGTAAAAGGCAGATACATGTTGTATCGTTAAGGTTACTACTGTGGACGCTACTCAGCTCTCCCAAACACAGCAAATCAAATCAAAAGAGAAAGAAAGGATGGAAGCCGGGGATACCGGGGGAAAAGCCCGTTGCCGAGACAAACAAATGAACAATGACGAGCCAGATGACCAAATTCAAGCCCACGTGGTGCCGGGCAAGACAAGCTGGCGCACCTTCGCCACGCTGCCGCTTTTGACTCCATTCCATCCATTTTCTCGTCCGTCCACAAAAGAGCCTCCAGCGGGTTTTTTCGTCCGGATTAGAATCCGCCTGTTCATTTTCTCCGCCCGCAGACCCCCGAGGTGACATCGCCCCCCGCGTGTGCCTCGCCTCACAATCGGAAGGGGTTTCAACGCTCTCTCCCAGCGACTCGGGCTCCTTCCCGGGAAGGTGCCAAGAAGCTGGGCGCCCAGCAAAACAGCACAGCAGGTGGCTGCCGGCTGGACGACGCGCTGGAGCGTTCAGTCACTTATTTCCTTTATCAGGTACGCCAAGACGGAGCCGGCTGTGTCACTGTTACGACAGGCTGCTCGGCGACGGTTGAAGGCTTCAACAGTTGAAAACGCGGGGAGGGGATGGGGGGGGGGGGTGCTTTCCAAGAAGCGCGGCGTCATCAAAGTTGGGTTGAGGTAGACAAACAAGATGAAGCGGCGAATTTGCGCTCGCGGAAATGTGTTTTTTTTTTTAATCCGAGGCCAAGAAGCGTCCCAATGTGTTGAATTGTGTAGAATTTCTCTCTGATTGGCTGTGGAAACTCTCTCACCGCCGCTAACGATGAACGACTTTTCATTGTGCTCAAGCTGATAAGATCAAAACTGCTAAACATAAACATACATTTCTGCACCCCACTTTTTGCTCCCCGTTTTACTCGAGGAGTCACCGTGCCGGTGTAACAAAACACGATTATTTTGCCCACCAAGGCTATGGAGTCTCTGGCTCCTGAGAATGGGAGAGGGTTTACAAAGATCTAGAATCAAAGCAGGAATAAAACCGGCGAGATGAAAGAGCCGAGACTGAGAGCCTTGTCTGTCTGTCGAGTGTTTCGGCTCCTTTTCTTTTGGCTCCTTCTCACTCTCGCTATTTCCTAAGAGAAGGAGAGGAAAAAATTGTCACCGTGCGATTTTCTCGCCACCTACACGACAGCGTGAAATCTAAAACTTCCCTCGCATCTCGCCGGTAAAATGGGACGAGTAAAGCGCGGCTCATGCAGAGATATGATCAATACCTGGCGATATGGCAGGCGTCACAGAGCGCCTAATTGAAATGAGCCGGTTGTGCCTCCCCCCGCCTTTGCCCGTCGTCTGAGAGCGGCGGCGGCGGTTTGAGGCTAAATAAGCAACAGAGCAAAGCCACTATTGAGTAAAAGCGGCACAACGTGGTAAAAAAAAACTTTTCTTAAACGTCGACAAAGTCCTCTCCCGCCTTCTCCCCCCTCGAGCCCCCCCGGATTACCGCTGTGCCCTCTGAGCCGCCTCCATTCCTCCAGTTCATCTTCTCAGTGTGCAGCTCTCTGCAGGAGAACCGGAGCTCACACATCTCTCAAACCTCCCGTTTGCCTTTCGAGGCCGTGGCTGCCGTTTAATCCGGGTCTCGGGGTAAATTCAACATTTTGATCTTTTGATAACAACTCTTAACAGGTACAGTAATATTGGAGTTAATCATCAGGACTCCTGGATTTCCTTTTTTTCGATGTTGTGATTGTGTACCAAAGGCTCACGTGCTTCGTATTGTGCCATTGTTCCCCCCCCCCCTCCCCGCCTCGGTTTCTCTGGGACCTTTTGTTCACAGCACATTGTGTTCCCCTGACTAGCCGCGGTTTAAGGAAGACGAGGCGCCGGTGGCCCGTCTGTGGCGATAGCAGCGACCCCTGTGGTCTGCGGTCACGCTCTGCAGGTTGCAGGGGAAGTCACCGTGCGGCGTGTGAATAAAAAGCTCCTCCTAATCTTCCATCCAATCTGCAGAAAATCAAGATCAGAGCCACTGAACCAAATCTTTGTTTTCTCTGCTTCCCTCGGTGCTCCCGAGGAGCGGAGCTGTCAGCAACGCAGAGAGAGAGAGGGAGGGAGAGACGGGGTGAAGAAGAGAGGCGCGAGGGAGGGAGAGGAACGCCGGGGGAGAGGCATGCGGTGAAAGTGTCGGGAAGAAAGCGGGAGGGAGCGAGAGAGGGAGGAATGATGGACAAAGAGCCGCACTGCGAGGGCTGTCTGGCGGCGTCCTTCGAAGCGAAAACGCACGACCGGGGAAGAAGCTCTGGGAGAAGCGAGCAGGAGGTAAGCAGGGAGGATGAGAAGGAGAATTAGGAGAATCCTCCACAAGCAGATGGTGCCACTGGGCAGGAAACGGTTTCCTCAGATCTCATTAATAGACGTGATGAACAAGGAGAGGTACGAAGCGAATCTCCTGCCGGTGCAAGGCCCAAAAATGAGCCGATGACCACGAAAGGAGAGAAATGAGACAGAAAGGTAAATTGGATACTCTTACATGTGCAAATTTACATTCTCCCGCCCGACTATCCATTTTGGGGGGATGATCTTATGTTTTGAGGGGACGCGCTGTATCTGTTTTTCTCGTATTTCCAGACTTACTAACCCAACAACAGCAAAAGTTCTCCCTGACTAAACAATTGTAGGGTAAAAAGTGTTTGTGTCCCGGCCCACACATGGTAAATATTACTGCAGCTCTGTCAAACTGAGGTGATCAGTGGCTGGTGATACACTCACGACATTGTTGTAGTCCACGGGGAAAAAAAAACAATAAAAAAAAAAAAAAAAAAAAAAAAGGTATTGCGAAGCTTTTCTGGCCGGGATCCGATTCATCCCGTATCGCATTACGCATTCATGGCTACGCGAGGCACCTTCCTGCCTGCAGGCGAGAGCTGTTTTGGCATACACCCATCTTCCGTTTCCTTAGTTGGCCAAAGTTCTGCTCAGACAGCTGTCACTCATCTTGATATGAGACGTCTTTTTCAGAACAGCATCGGCGGACGGAACCGGCGTCGATAAGCAGGCGGCCGACTGCGGCGGTCATGACTCGTAACTCGTCAAGTCACTCGGGCGAGGGACTCCTGTCCGAGCCGAGACTCTGAATGTTATCAATGAATGTGTTGTCCATCCGTTATGGCTACACGTGTGTTTTTACATCGGCCTGTCATGTGTCATGTTTATCTGCATTGTGTGTTTGTTTTGATTCATTTCATCAGCGACACAATGTTCTCTGGAGCTACGAACGGAGTGAGCGTGGGGGGCCGGGGGGGGTTACTGTTAAAGCTGAAGCTCAACGAAGAAGACGATAAGGCCCTCGGGTGAAACATTACCATCCCCAGGTTCAGTTGGATGCTCCTCGGTGAAAAAAATTCGTCAAGTAATCTCAAACAGCAAAATATTGAATTTCATTTACATCAAAAACTAAACATAAAAGTTGCTCCATAATCCGCCGTGGGGCTTTTCAGACTCTCAGCTTCTGGAATGCAGAAACATTTGCAGCCAGATTTAAGGTACAAACTTTGCAGAGTGTTGAATCGATGGAGTGATTCCACCTGGTCACCTGCAATCCTTTCATCGAGCTGCAGTTTATTCATTGTATTCTATAGTGTTTTCACTTTGTCACTTATAATTTGATAGAGTATGTATATATCAAATAATAGGTCTGTACATCCCATCATTCTGTAGTACTAATGAAGGTTTTTTTTGTAGGTATAATTGTTATATATCTTGGTATTAATTAATTATTATTCAGTAAACATGCTACCAGCAACAATGTGACACTGTTGACTTTTTTCTAAAACTTTAAGTTAAAGTTGTAGACACAACTCCACATACGTCTTTTTTTTCCAGTTCTTCCACTAACTCAATGTCAAATCTGGAACCCAGCAGAAACTCTTAGACGTATAAACATTCAATGCGTGAAGAGCATTATGAGAATCGTTGATGTTCCAAAATCATAGAAAATCTCGTTTTCTTTCAAGCCCCGACAAGAACTCCTACCCGTTAACTAATGCGAGACGTTTTCCACGAGGACAATGTACGACCATTTCTGCCCTGTGCCTCTCCGTGGTGCTGAAACATTTAGTCTCTTGTCTATCATTCGGTGTCTCTGCAAAGCTGAAATGTATAAATTATGCAACACAATAGTGTTTTTCTGCTCTGTATGCTGCACCCCTAAGAGACACAACCATTTCATCTCAATTCCAACAATATATATTACAGCGGTTAAACAGATTACCTGCATTCGTGTTCCAAGACTGCTGGAGAAAAAAAAAACAAGTCCAGTGAATATTTTGCCCTGGCTGGTGTGTTATCTGTAACGCAGACAAAGCCGGGGACACATTCCCGCCACAGAGAGCAGCCTTTTAGTCTGTGTGTGTGTGTGTGTGTGTGTGTGTGTAGCCATGCTCGTGCGCCCTGGACAGGGAGTTAAATGGGTTGCAGAGTGCCAACAATGTGCGAGTCGTGTAAAGAGGTTGAATGCTTCGCGGAACAACACAACCCTGTGTGTGTGTGTGTGTGTGTGTGTGTGTAATGTGTGTACCCATGCGGGCCGTGCGCGTGGCGGTTGACAGATGCGTTTCTTTTCTGCTGACAGACGTGATCAGCGGTGAGCAACCCTGGCCCGCCACCAAGCTATTACTTAATTCATTGACATTTTGTGTAATTTTCTCTGGGCAGTTTGCAGAGGAGGTTCGGAGTTCTAATGGGATTAGATTAGAGAAATACAATTACCATTCCACATATAAAGGGAATCATCTTTAAGCGGCACTGGGGAGGGAGGGAGGGAGGGATACAGAGCGAGAGAGAGCCATATCGATATGTGTGTGTGTGTGTGTGCTGAAGAATGAGTCAGGAGGAGAAAATATCTATTTTTTTGTGTGGACACTTGCATGACTGTGGATGTGAAAGTGAGCGTTACAGTTTTTCACCCCCCCTCCTTTTCTTTATCAGGGCGGCGGCCTCAGAAATGGCCTGTCAGGGCTCTTGGAAATGTCGACGCGCAGATAATGACACGTTGAGAGCCGTGAACCTCCAGCTTGTCACCTGCTGGTAATTGGTTCTTCTACCAGTTTATTGTCTCCAGCTGCACTGCTCATCACCGATATTCCTGTTTTAGAAACAGAGGCGAAGAGAGAGAGAGAGAGAGAGAGAAAAAGAGACAGAGATAAATATGAACATTTCCATATGGATTCGGAGAGGCTGCAGGTGCATATTAGCCTCTGAGTTTGTGTACCTCTGCACTCATTAATGATTATTTGGCACTTCCTTTGGGGAACAGTGGGGAAAAAAACAGCAGTTGCTACATTTAAATAGCTGAAGAAAAACACGGGCGCTTTATTTATCTCATCTTGCCAGCGGTGTTTCCAACTTTTGCGGGTTGCCGAGCGAGATAACCCCAGCAATCCTCCAGCTGTTTCGATGTTTCATACCACAATCAAACGTCTTTTTGGCATTGAGAAGATTGCATTGAGGCCAGAGCCTGGCATCAACACCACTGAGGTTTAATCTGCCGTGAAGGCAGAGCCCCCCGTGTGGAGCGTCTTCTTCGTCAGGCGGTGGGAGAATCGCATGTTACGCCGCAGGTTATTGAGCTCCGTTGCTGGACATTGCCCTCTGGCTGCTGTTGCATGGAACACAACTCCTCTTTTGTTACAGAGGAAGCATTCCCTCACCACCTGAATCACAGCACTGGGCACAGAGAGCCTCCAGCACGTGTTTGTCATCACATTTGCATTTCCTATTTCGTTGCAGTGACTGTGGGACAACTATTTTTTTTTGTTATTAGTTATTTATTTATTTGAATCGAGCACATTGAAGCTGTGCAACGTGTGAGCGCTAAAATGCTTAAAGAAAATGTCATTCAGTGACAATTAAGCCATTCTCATTTGTAGAGCCTTACGGATAACATTAGCAGCAATTGCCATCATTCGAAGACATCAGAGTGAAAACACGTCATTAAGGCGGCTTTAAGACTTGAACCACAAAACGTCGACTTAAAAGCAGCGGAAAAAACCTGTTAAAAGGAGTGTGAGCAGCTGATGAGCCAGATATTCTTCAGAAATTGGTGGAGCCCAAAAAGGAATTAGTTGCAAAAAGAAGAGTCGTCTATTCGTCAGGTCATCTAAATAAATGTTGATGTTTAAATGTTGCTCGCGCATTGGTTTGCCGAACCATTTTACAAGGTAATAAAATGTCAAAGTTGAGTTAATTAGTTGCTAACTTTGTCTGCTAGCTCTTTGCTTTTGGGCAGAAGGTGCATAAGAATTTATTCAAGGATTTTTTTGAACAAACAGTTGCTTGAAGCGCGTTTTATGAGGTGGTGAAAACGAACTAAACTGGGGACGTGCGCAGCCAGACGAAGACGGCGAGCGCCGTACAGTTTGATGTGACAAGCTCGCACATTCCACCGCCACCATGAATTGATGACGACAAATGCATAATGTCGCTCATAAACAAACTGACATAATAATAATAAAAAAGTCTGAAATCCTCATCATTGGACCCAAAATGTCTCCTAGCACCGTTCCCGCTTTGAACACAAACCAATTATTATTATGAACTAGAAAATGCATTTCCTGCTGAAAATGCAAAATGCTGAAAGCTGGAATGAACTTCAGAAAATTGCTGAAATTACAGAAAGTTGAAGAGAATTTGAATAAATTTGCTGAAATTACAGATATTAGAAAAGCTGAAATTAATTTGAAATTGCTGAAAATACAGAAATGGGAGAAGCTGAAAGGAATTTCAATAGATTTGCTGAAAATGCAGAAATGAAAACAGCGGAAATAAATGTGAAATATTGCAAAAAACAAAAAATAATAATAATAAGATGTTTCGAAGAACAATAATGCATTCCAACAATAACAAACCATAAAACAATTATGGAATTTGGATAATCCCCAAGACAACGTCCGATTCCAATAGAGTCTACATCAAGTTTAGGAAGCAAAAAGCACTTCAGGCTCCTCAAAGAAAGGCTTACATTTCACCTCCAGTTCGCTTACCAAAGATATTCTCTTCCTTCTTCTGGGTGAAGTAGCCGTGAGAACACATTGAAAACGAGACGCCACTATTGAGCGACACACACACACACCACCTTGTCCGCGTCCTCCTTCCCGCCAGAAGTACCTGCTTCTCTCCCGTTCATCTTGACCTTCCAGTCAGCTGGTGTCTCCGTCAGAAAGGCCGCCAGTAGAATTCGGCAGCTCAGTGGTTTTGTCAAAGCGAGGCCCGGCTGATGATTGATCAGGCGCCCTCGCATTCATTTTTCAAACACAAATGACGGTCATGAATCACGCCATCCGCTGACCGCCCACCTTCCCGCACAGTGTTGACTCTGACATCTCGGGTGGATCACCGGCGGAACCACGCGCTTCACCCGCGGTTCACATCTTTGACATTGACTCTTTTTGGGGGGATTGTGCAGCGTGGCGAGCTGGCCGTCACGTCCAGGCCTCTTTTAACGGCTACAATCTCTTCTCTATGTGGATGCTGAGGATTGGATCCCCGAGCCGTCCGTGACCTTTTTGGAACCAGACTGTGCAATTCTACTTTAACAAGCGCCATAATACTTTCGGTTTGAGAGAAAGGTGATGAAAAAAATAGAAAATGAAAAAATCTTGAGCACTTTACAGGGGTCGACAGCTTCTCGAAGCGGTTGTTTGTGCAAAACCAACTCGTGGTGGAACATGTTAACAAGGCTCTGACAGGCGGCCGTATTTCACCCCATTTCGTCTGTCATGTAAGGATATCAGAGGTTTAAACCAGCTTCCGTTATTAGAACTGTTTCGCGCTGTGATTTATCTCTTCATTTTGACCGTTGGATTTTTCTTTCCTTTTTTTTTTCTTTTTTTCTCCTCCCGCACAAATTTGTCCTGCAGGGAAAGTGGTGAATCTCGAAGCCGCGATCTTGTCAGGTGTAGTGAAAATCCACTCGGCCCCGGCGATTCATCAGTATCCTCACTCTGCACACACATGCCTTCATCCGTCTCCCCGGCACCAGAAAAATCAATTGATTTGTCCTACAAAGTGCCGGCTTCTTTATACAGTTTCTTAGGATTTCTATCAAAAAGGCTAACTCACACCATGTACGTATAAATATGTATGAGCACGTCTATAAAGGGCAGAAATTGATTGTTCAATCAAATGGGAGTGGGAAGAGAATATTGGCAAAGCAAAACTCAGCCTATATTTTATGACTCCGCCTTCACTGATTATTAGTCCATTGCGGGAAGAAATAGTTCATCTTGACCTTTTGACCACAAAACAAACCACTGACAAGCAACTGACCTACTAAAAGAGTGGCCCCAGCTGTTGAATGGAGGCGCGAAAACACCGGATGCGTGACGCACTTTAGAGAAACATTTCATTTGATTATGTTCGTGTTCAAATGAATAATTCAACACCAAGGCGGTTTATCCGCGGTTTAACGGAAATAAACAGTTAAAAGAACAGTGAAAAAAATCAGTGATCAACACCGTTGCCTTGAAGTTCTTTCCTTTTGTGACGATCACCACTGAGAGGCATTCGACTGCTGTTTACAGCGCCGCGCCTCATTAGGCGGCGGCATGCGGGGCACCCATCATCGGAGTCCGGCGGCACTTTCCTCAAATGAAATGTTCACCTTTCGCAATTAGGCTTCGGTGACACGGTGAGACCCAAATGCCACCGAAAAGAGCGGCTCACGCGTTGCTCCGCGGATGCCTTTTCTCAGCCGGAAATACCGACTCATTAGTTTGCCCTCACCTCCTTTCTCTAAGAAATTGTAATCCATCTCCGTAGTAACCACATCCTGTCTTGGATATTTTTCAATTACTCTCTTTGTCTCCTTCTCTCTTGCCGTCGCTGCAGAAATACGTTAAGGCTACTTTAGAGCATCTGCAGAGAAATACGACTAATTATGTTGGTTGATGGAGGTGTCCTTGTTCAACCGTTTCAATGCAGCACGCCGTGCCCGGCCGGCCATACCATAATATACTACACATTAGGCGGAATATTTGAAGACCACTGGTGTGCCGTGAAGAAAAAGGGCTATTTGTGCACTTTCTGTTGACAATGTTTCCCGTTTCTCCGACCTCGGTTACTTTCTTTCCCCGTTTCGGTCGTGGTTCTTCACAGGGATCGGCCGTGTCATGTATTTTGGACTAAATGTATGTATTTGGGATTGTGGAGCCGCCGGGCGCAGCGATATCTGCCACTCTCAGCAGCGCTCGGGGGGCTTTTGTGTGGCGCTTCGAAAAAAAAAAAGAAAAAAAGAAAGGTGTCGTGTCCCCGAGACTCGACACCTTAGCGAGCAAGACGGATTCCAGGCGTCCTGCCTCCCGATAAGCCTCTGTGAAATCCCAGAGGGGGGAGTGTTGGGGGGGATTCGATTAAAATGATCAACAAGGCGTGGAAAAATATCTCCATATTTCTGGTTTAGTTCTCGACATTATGATCGAGGACGGCCGTTCACTGTTTTTTTTATGAGGGTGTATTTGTGTCTTCTCAGTTATCCCTGTTGGCCTTTTTGCAACTGCACCGTTAGTGCGTGTGTGAGTGCGTGATCACTTGTTGGGGAAGAGAAGTGCTGCGCGCTGCCAAGATTGTGTAATTATCACATTCAGCGTCGACTGCTGGCGGTTTGTCCCTCCCAAGACTGCCACTTCAAAATGCAGAGTGTCTCAAAATGCGTCCATCCAGCCGCTGCAGACATCCGGCGTGTTCAGGGTGCAACAAGCCCCCAAGGCCGCCGGCGAAAAACAACCCGTATATCTCCTCCTTTTGAACAATCTCATCTGATTGTTGAGTTTTTTTGTGTGAAATTCACGAGTTAAAGTGAAAAAAAACCCGAGACAAATCAATAACGTACAATGGCAGTTTCTCCGCAAAGTGCAGTGACTGGGCCGAGGATCCCTAAAGAATAGACAAACTACACCGGCACCATTTACCTCACGGTGGGGAATTTATCACGGCAGGGGAGTAGAAGAAGCGCGTTAAGGCGATAATGACGTGAGCTGCTGTGAATCCCTAAATATATTTGTTTCCGGCGTAAATTGGTGCAAAATATCCCGCCGTTGTGTCACGAACCCACTGAAGTTTTCAGTGTCTGTGTGACACGTGTAGGGCAAAGACAAAGAGAGTTTTTTTATTTTTTTTGTCTCTGACGCGAGGCCTTACTCACACGTCAGTCCATCATGTGCTGCACCAAACATCTGGCTCCAAAGTTCACAGCTTCCCCGTCAGGTAACACGGGAGCTGCTGCGCGGCGTGCTCCAGATGTGCCGTTCGGACAACTCCTTTCGAGTGCCACGGCTCATTTCTAACAAACAGCGGGGGAGATGGTGATGGGGGGGGGGAGGACACGCCGCACCACAGACGGCAAGAAGAAGCTGGCTCGACCCACTGGGCAGAAGTTGTACGCGGCCGTGAGGATTAGCCATGTTAATCTTAAATATCCTTAAAATACTTATGCTCATAACCTGGCAATACTTCATCTGGACCGATTTCAAAGAAAAAAACTATCCAGCCACATTGGGATTCGAAATAAGAGAAAATTGCAACCATTTAGAAAATGAAACATGACATACGTAACCATGAACCTCATTTGTTTCAGCTTTCAGCTGGTTTTACCTTCGCCGACTCTACTGACTCTCACTTAACTTCCCCTCCCTCGGTCGGTTTAAGTAAAGTCCAAATATAGATTTGGCTCAGCCGCAGGTTGCTTTTCACCCACAGGAAAAAGGTGCACACGTATCATCACTTCCCATTTTTCGACTTACGTCAAGCTGTAAAGTAGACACACATATGTATATATATATACACATACTAATATAAGAAAACTAAAGTAAGAATAATGCTGAGGTGGTTTTTCTTCACACGCTAATTAACTTGCACTTTGCTTCCTTTCGATAACAGCTGCTGGGAGCACACTGTATGCACGATGCCATTCGGCTATTCTAAACCTGGATACTCAAACAGGGAGAGAGAGAAATGAAAGTAGATAAACTAATGAGACAGATAACAGCAAAGGACATATATACTGTATATATGTACACATACATATTATACCTTCTTGGATTGCATGTAAGGCATTGATACATTCGTAATATTGGTAATAATGGGTTCCATATCAACTACGATGGCCGTGGATCGGCAGCAGAAGGTGCAGGACATGCTGACGGAGCGATGGAAGAGGACAGCGGAGCAGAAGGAAGAAAGATGGATGACAAGCGAGGGAGGGATCTTTCCTCGCCCAGATGGCGTGCAGACGATGGCACTTCTGCGCTGCTCTCCAGGAAACTTCCAGTGATCGGCCCGTACGCAAAGAGGTCAACTGCAGCCCGAGGCGGCGCGCTATTACTCGGCAAACAAGAAAAGAAAAAAAAGGATAAATTGAAGAAAAACAAAAAAAAGCAAACACGCAGCTACTCAAGCTGCTGATTCATTTGCGCTGCTTTCCCTCCCGAAGCTGCTGTGATCTATGCGGGGCGATATTTCAGACAGCAGCGAATATGACTGCCATAAATAAAACAGTATTAATCATCCCAACTCCCATTTGAGGCCCTTCTCACATTTATCAGGCTTTTAATATTAACATAGATTAAGGGCATGTCACTGTACGTAATCTTGCTCCAGATAAGAGCTCTGCCAAAAAGGCCTTTGTTGCACTTTGGGATGTGCAACATAATATCCAACACGGCATCGATGCAGACATTCCTCTGAGAGACGGTATTATATATCTATATCTGTATATGTATATGTACATGTAGGTGAAGTGAGTCAATGTGTTTAAAGTCTCAGCTCTCTAGATTTTTTAAATATTGCATTAAGGTCTGAAAATGTAATCTTTCTGCTGGTCTTTACATTTTCATAGAATCACGTCATCTCAATTAAAGTATCACTCTTCTTATGCTTCCATTTCCTCCTTCCAATACTTTTTCTTTTCCGGACTGCAACAAGTTGTCCAATCACGTCGCCATCCCAGTCCGCTGCTCCGGGCGGGTAAACCGCCTTAACGGGAGGGAAGGAACACGTTCGCGCCGCGGGGCCTGAAATAGGGGTTCTGATACGACTAAAGTGGCTCCATTTTAGATGAATTCTGCATGATGCGAGCAGGTGCGCTTACGTGTCGGCGTGCGAGTGTCTGCGACCGCCATTGTGCGTCACACAATGGTCCTTGATTGAAGACCGAAGTTGACAAACGTAGCACATACAGTACGTGCAGGCACACGTGTGACAGCCTGAGGATTTCATTCAATTCAACGGTGTGTTTCTAGAGGTTTTCTTGTCCACAAAAGGAGACTAAAGCCATTCGAGCGGCGCAGAGAAGGTTTCCTTTTAGTCAGATATAACAAATCACAAGAAAACTGCCGTGAAGCAAATTTTCCATCTCATTCCGGTGTGTTGACATGCACACGTTTTCCTACTGCGACATGTACTAAAAACCTGACTGAGGATGATAGAAATGTTGGTATTTACCACTGCTGCAGGACAACTCAAGGGATAACCGTTTTTATTAGAATTCAACCTCAGGGAAACATTAATACCTTCCAGGTTTCATAGAAAGTCAAAGGTTGACCTCACGGTGGCGCTGGAGGAGAAGGAGCTTAATCCTCTTATCCCCGCCCGGCAGCCGGACCCTCAGGATGATCAGGCGAGACCGCTTGGATCCAAGGAACGAAGGGCTTATTATCAGGCGGGTCCGATTAACGTGGGACTAAGATATCTGACGGAGCCGGTGGCGATCTGTGCGAGCGTCGTCGCATTGGCAGCCACAAATGTGATGATGGTACAAGAGGAAAAGTCAGGCTTTCACCAAAGCCATTAGGGTTCATCCTCTGGGGACCAGGGATGGGTTTTTTTTTTTTTTTGAGGGGTAATCCATCCCACGGTTGTGGAGATATTTCGAATATCTTGAATAAAGTGAAGGAGGATCTGTCGGTTCATGCCCCTAAAGTGCAGAAAGATGTGCGCAAAGGTAATGCGTGCTACGTAAAAGACATTTGTAAACTCGTGCAAAGCCTGGGCGCAGACCGACAGAATGGTAAACTGAATTAATTGTTTGGTGGATCAAACGTAATTTGCACCGTAAACAAAAAATAGATGAATCAACAACTACAACTATTACGACAAGAAAGGCTATTTATCTCCACCAAAAGCCCGTCCATGGCTCGATGTTAACACCTGCTTCATTTGCTAAAAGAACTCATATCACATCTCACTCAACGCGCCTCGTTTCCCGCGTTCAGCCTGACGAGCCGCCTTTTGAGTGCCAAACAACATCAACCGGAAAGACAGAAAAGAACAAGACCGATAAAAGAGAACTTCCCTCTCGTATAATTACCCCCCCCCCACATACCCTCCACTCACTCTCCTCCCCGTAGACTTGCTCACACGTTAAGGAAAAAGTGTTTTTCTGATGCAAATGAGATGAAAAAGCTATTACCTTGAATTATAAGAATTGGCTTGTTTTGCTTATCTCTGCTCCCGCAGAGGACTTTTGGACGGAGGTGAAGACGTGTTGACGCATAGTCGGGGCGCGCTCGATTGCCTTCTTTACGTACATAAACAAAGAGAATATTGCCGCGACTTCCGAACCATGTTGTGCACATAATACATACTTCTCGGAAGGATTCTGTTTTCCAAAGTCAACTATCTTGTGAATCAATTTGAAAGTCAGCGCCGCAACCTTGAACATTAAATCGAAAAAGAAAAAAAAAAGGTTGGTAAAAGTCCATAGGAATCGATAGCAGCCGTCCAATAGTTTAGGGCCTCTGCGGTGAGGCTTTAGTCACACCTCTGCTCCCTTCAGGCGCCGCACTTCCTTCAAAGTGGCCTTTGCACAAAATGCGCTCTGTGCCTCCCCCGGGCTAACAGGGAATTCTCCTAAAGGTCACATTAGGACGGCAATCCAAATAGAGAGGAAGAGGATAATCCCTCCCCGGACCATTCAAACCTCCTCTCTCGACAACTCATGACCACGTCAAAGCCGAAGGTGCACGGACACACAAAGACTCGCGCGCACGCGTTTACGGAGCCCTGGAACTGACACAGTTTACCGAGCGATGGCGTTTGGACTCCGTTTCACTTGTTGCTGTTGCCCTCGAGTGGCTGACAAACGTCCAACGCAGGTTACAAGTGTCATCGTTACATTTGAGCTGAGTTTGTTAACAGAGTTGGATGAATATGTACATTTTACTTATCTCACTTAATTCATTAATTCAGGGTCTGTTGTTCAGCCGCTGTTTTTATTTTCGTTGGTTTCATTTATTTCCAAATGTTTACTTGATTGTTTGATGAATACATCATGAAAGAGTCGAAGCCCGGGAGAGTGCTTGAGGGCCTCACGCCCTCAGTGTGCAGCGGTATTTATGCATGAAACGTATTCGAGGAGCCACATTAGCAGCAGTTAAGGTTACGGCAGCACATGAAACTGATGATAAAGAAAAGCTTACTGTTCTTATTGAACCGTCGCACAAACTCCAGGGTCATAGATATTTCCCCAACATTATAATTACATAATTTATGATATTTTCTGAATTGGTCATCAGCTGTTTGTAAAAACAGTTCCAAATCCAGAAAAAGTGTGGTTATAGTTAAAATCAACCTGTTAGACAACAACCTAATTGCAGCGTGTAATAATTCAGCCTAATATATCAATAGTTGAATGAATATGAATGCTAATTTTAAACTTTATGACTAATATTTCACTCATATTATCCTGTCTGACTTTTAGCTCCTCGCTTTTAGCTTCTCCCGTGCAAGTGGGAAGGGCTAAAAGCCACATGCCCACCATCCATCAATGGTGAGTCGAGTCTTTTTCCAGCTTCCCATTGAAAGGTTTCACTGCATTATGTTTATATAAAGCATTTTGCAATTTGCTCTACTATTTATTCCATCTGTAAATTTCCCTCAAAGCTTTCGGCACCATAAAGTACACCAGATATAACGCAACCCTAAGTTGCTGCGATAACGCCTCAGAACACCCAACTTTAACGAACTGCACCGACCGAGTAAATGTAAGACATACGCACTGAGTTAAGACTTGGAAACACAAAGACCTTTTTGTTGGCAAAAAATAGAGCACCCTTGAGACAGGGGTCCTTGATGCATAGAGACGCAGCGATCGGCGTCGGGTCCCAAAGCCTCACTTTCAAGTCCTTATTCTCGCAGTGGTTGCGTCTCCACGCCTGAAGTCGCTTGGAAATGTCAGAGGAGACCTATTAGCTTATGATAATGACTACAAGCACACAATATGTCACTTCATAGCCTTATTTCGGTACCGGGTGCTAATGAGACATCTTGGGAATGAAGCACCTCTTGATCTGCAAGGTGAGAAAATCACAGGTGTTAATTCAATGCGCCGAGGCTGCGCATTAAACAAAGCCATTTCCAAACTTTGAACAGCCCGCACGACTGTTGACGCGGCTCCGCGCGACACTTCAAACTGCAAACAACTGTCGCTTGTTTTCCGAAGATGATCCATTTCAGGTCGCCCGGAGCGGCTCGCGGCGGCGTGCGCGCTGAGGGAGATCCCACTCCAGCCCAAAGGGGGATTAATCCCGAGGTGCAATTCCTCACTGTCACTCGGGTGCATTGTTATATAGGTTTTTTTTTCTTTCGCTGAGAGGACCGCGCGGAGCGCGATTGGTTCACGGACGCGGCGCTCATAATCGCTGGCGAGCGCTTCTGTTTTGCCCGCTAAACCGTCCGGTGAGATTCGCAGCTCGGGCCTTGGGACCGCCGCCAAACTAGTTTAAGGTCACCTTGCCGAAACAAGCTGGCAGGAAGCTTCCATACAGCTGCTCAGCCAACGCGCTGCCGCTCGCTGACATTCAGCTTGAAAAGGGCGGGAGGCGGGGGGGAGGTGGGGGGGGGTGGATGTGTGTGTGTGTGTCTCTCTTTGGCTCTTGGCCTTCCTTTCCATGAACCTCGCAAACCGCCGTCGCCGTCGCTGTCGTGTCGAGCCCGGGCTCCACCTAACACGGCTCCCGCTGACCTCGGCCTCGCGTCCTCTTTCGGCCCCCGGCTTTGCGAGCCCGTTCCCGCCGCCGCGGGGTCCTCCGGTTTAATTAACCCCCAAACCAGGATCGGGCCAGTTTTTCGACAGCTCTCGAGCATCCGGGCTGAGTAATAACGCCTCCCTGCACGCAGCTCGGTAGCAGGCGCATTAATTAGATCAGTAGATGTCGCTCTACAGCATTTTTATTCTCAACATATTAAGATCGTAGGTTTCTTTAACGGTCACTCCAGCAATTAAGAGATCAACTAAAAAAAAGAAAGTTTGAGAGTAAAATCTGCACACGGCAGGAAAAGACTTCACCAGCATCCTGGTTTCTGTTTCTATTTGAAGTAGTGTGAGCCAATCGGGCTCGAGCTAAAAATGAGGAATACTTTGGATATTTTCGAGTCCCTGGAACCACGAGGTAACAACTAACGAGGATTTATTCATCTGAAATAAACTGTGGTAAATTCACCATTCCTTCATGTTTGAAGCCCCCAGTGTTTAACACCAGCCTCCTGTCATTGCTATTCCTCGCCTCAGAAAGCTCCCCTGCAGAGCCACGCAGGATCATTTCATACCGTTTTCACAGGCTGAGTATCACTTAAAAAAACGATGAGTAAACAACGTGTGACACGACCTCAACTGCCCACTTGCTTGAATTTGGGAACAAATCATTCCTTTACTCATTTAAATACCTCCCAAACTTTTAATACCAGTGCAGCGTTTTTCGTTTAAGCGAAACATTTCAAAACATCATCAAATATCCCAGACTCTCTTGGGCAAACAAGCCGCACACTCAAAGTTCAGCAGTTAAATGAACAGATAAGCGAGTGCTCGTTTTATTTATTTATTTACTTCCTTGGCAAGATTCATCAAATGGGCCTTCATTTGCATGCAGGAGGGTTGAAAG